CGTGAATACTTTGCATAATTAAACACATTCAAATACCAATTCAATAAATAATCATTACACTAATAAAATAAATATTCCGCCGACCGCTCACTGCGATTGACGAAACAACCACTCGATGTCCAAGTAATCATCTGTCTTCACAAAATTCTAACTTATCGTTAGATAATTGATTTGGTAACCACAGAGGTTTTGGGCCGCTCTCCCATATTCCGCCATGATTTCTAGGGAGAAAGACTCAAAAGAGCCCGAAAGTACATTCCGATTGATCTCTTGAACATTCATCCAACGATCCTTTCATGAACGAATTCATCTCTCTAAATTTCAAAAGAATTATTTGGCGGGAATAAATTTGTTCAGAAAACAATTCGCCAATACAGGCTTCAATCAACAGAAAATTGATCATCGACGTCGACGTTTGCAAAATCCTGATCGTTCTGATGACATTACGATATTTTTGCTAGCTGTTTTATGAAAAATTAAATCCGCGTTAACGCTGCTATTGAACCATTTATGCATGTATTCCTGTTTGGGTGATAAACGACAAATCTTACTGAATTCCAGTGAATTGCTGCATAATTCAAGATGAGTAAAACAACGGCTATGCAATAGGAATATTGTTCATGTTGAGTTGATGGAAAAGGATAACGACAGCATGCGCCCAAATCTGGATAACGATCACTTAGAATAAGTTTCCATCCAATCATAAGTTTCATTTAAGCATTTCTTTCAAGTCTTCCAAAACTTCATAGCTCACATATGATGGAATACTAACACTAAGACTGCTTTAACAGGTTATAGTAACGCTTCTCAAGCATGCGTTTCCTTCTTCAAATTTACATGAAATCCGTTGCACACACAACTGTCTATGCTTATCGTAAAAAAGGCAATTGCCTTACTATTAACGACAAAATTCACCCGCTTCAAAGTCAATGTGGCCTTACTATTAGATGGACTAAAACAATGGAAATACATATTTGGGAGACAGTTTTATTCGCAAAAAAGAGCAATTATCTAATCATCAATACAGTGCGAATTTATAAAAGCGTAACATCTTTGAAATAAGTAAATTAAATGTGTGAAATATGTAAATCTTGAACTAATTGCACAACATTCATTGAATATGGACACAGTATAAATTAAACGAACATGAGAATTGTTTTTCAAAATCAAACGCAAATGACAATATTTTGAATTAGTAATACATAACAATATGTAAATCTTAAACCAACTGCAAAATGTTCACTGAATATGGACACAGTGTAAATTAAACGAACATGGAAATTGTTTTCAAAATCGAACGCAAACGACAATATTTTAAATTAATAATACATAACAATCGTGAGAACTGTGAAAAAAACTTCAGAAATTGGATGAGGTAATAGAAACATTCATCGATTCATTTAAAATAGCATATGGTCAACCTTCATGCTAACCTTCTCTCATATGAGACGAGTAAACAGCTCAACTTTAATGTCATTTTATGGCTCAGTCAATAAAGCATTCAAAATCATGAATTGATGAAACGAAATCATGCGATCTGAATACTGAGGGACAGAGAGCTGCGAAAGCACATTGCTTTCTTTACGATCAACAATTTACATTCACGCAAACAATCAAAACTCCCATTCGTACTGGACCAATCAGAATAATTCTGACAACTTCAATAACGACCACACCACCAACGTGACACAGATTCAAAGCAACGAGTAATCTTCACTATCACTTCTTTCGACTTCGTACACCTCTTTCCTTACTTTCTTGTTGACCACTTTTCTTCGCATATCTTTCAGCCAAATTTCCGATTCGTTCCATTGTTTTGGTTTTTATATCATCCAACGATTCAATTGTTTGCGTAATTACTGCATCCTTGAAATGAATAATCATTACGTTCAGCGATGCGGATTGCTTGGACAAAGATCAGAGGAAAATTTGGTTGTTTGAAAGATACGGTTCAATAATATACAACGATAATATTAACAATATATTAGCTGATAAATTCTACAACGGAAACTGGAACCAAATTTGAGTGTACCGTTTGACTGATCTTGAATGAAAAAATCAAGCAGCTACACATATGGTAATCGTAAAATTATTAAAAAAAGATAAATAAATGAATAAAACTGAAAATTTGTTGCAAAACGACGTTAGCAAAAAAGATAGATAATAATTGAAAAGCAAAATAGACAACGTGAATACAAAAATGAATGTAACATAAAAATTGTTGCAAAAATAGAGCAACAATGCACAAGCGACGTTGGCAAAGAGTGCTGAAATATCAACCAAAACGGAAATAAAGCAATGCTGCTCACCAAACTAGCACATCTTCGTTGCGCAAGAAGCAGCATAAAATCCTGTACCGTCCAGTCCTCTTCTTTTTTCCCCATACGCACGAAGTAGCACCGATCTTGTCGTTTTTGATGTTCAAGCCTGCAAGTGAATTACATGCTTCGATGTTAATAAACGAAAATAGTCAAAAGAAAGCAGTCATTTGAAGAGCAATGCTCAACTGAAACTGATTGACGACTATATGTGCTTACAATGGATCATCGTCCGGCTCCCAACCGGTGAGTTGCTTGAAACAAAAAGGACACTGCACGTTATCGTCATCGTCGTCACTGTTTCCAGGATTGAAAAAGAAACCAGCATCGGCCATCTGAATTACGAATGCTAATCAAAAATACACTGAACATATAACTGATTTCAATTACCACTCAATTTTCACGTATTAGCTTGCCACTTAGTCCGTTCAACTGCGTTCATAACTGCAGGGTTGTTTACATTTGAAACGGTCAATTGAACCTTGTGCTACTCTTACCCACTGATCATCATATACAGCGCTAAGCAATATGCTGAAATTTTGATTCGAGATCGATACTAGTGGGCAAGATTTTCTGTGACTCAAACTGCATTTGGGCGCTTTATTGTGACCCATGAAACTCAGCAGTTGTTAGCGTAGTTAAGCTAAAAATTAAATATCTGCAACGTTCATTAATCGATTCGCATTCAGGGCAGTGCTTGAATCAAGAAAAATGTGAACGAAAGATTTTCTTTGACTTAAAAACGAACCTTCTCAGGACTCAAGTTTGGTTCTTTATGTGGCCAATTCTTGGTGTATGATTTCAAACGAGCATCTCGAAACAGATACTTCGAATCCTCCTCGAAAAGTTCTGACAAAGATGGCGATGCCAAAGCCATTCGAAAATTTGTGATTGATTGCCAAAACTGGAACAATTTATAAACTACCAACAGTTCATAACAATCGACCGCTGACAGTTCATAACATCGTTGTGTCGTTCAAAACCGATTTGAAATGCAATCGGTAATAAAATCAGGAAATCAACAATTATCACTGCTGCGAAATCCGAAACATTTCGAGCAGTAATCTTCCACACTGAGCACATTCCATAAATTCGGATGCGTTGTGGCTACCGCAAACGGTTTTTTCCCAGGCGTAAAGTCGCCCGACGGCCATGCCTAACTCTGGCGCATTGCATACAACCGTGAGGAACAATGATAAGTATTTGAAGAAACGACAATCTTAATTCACCGTCGACCCCCACTGACGAGGAATGAATAGTTAAAAATAAGTTAACCATTAGTTAACCAGTTGTGCTTATCTATATACTTTTCAAATGTAATCCTTCGCGCGTTTACATATGTTCAAAATATAACATGAAAAGCTATAGAAACAGATCGCCAAATACGAACAGAGTGACCGTTTGACAGGTGACGAACTCGCATTTTCATTTGATATGTGCTCAGCAATATGAATCTTTTGCCCCTTGAACGGAAATGAATCCGAGCAATTGATGCAGTCGTTCTGTGGGGAAATATGTCGCAGATCGAGGGAGATCAAACGTTAGGTACAGAGTGGACAGTAATAAGGATATGCTCGAGATTTTCGATTTCGCTTTAATTGTAAAACTTTTAGAAATAATTCAAGTTGTTACCCATCCGACAGGGAAAATATATAGCCGTGAGATGTGCCAGTTTGCAGCTGAGATTGAGTAACGTAGACATTCGCATTGAACGTTTACACCAACTATTAATTTACAAGAGTCATGCCGCTTAGTGTGATCAGTAATGATGTTCAATAGTCACAATCGGCATATATACTGAATTAATTGAAATTCTCTCCGTTCCGAGAGGAAAAATTAGAATGAATGTTGTATATCATTTCTCAGCAGAGATTCAGTATTTTCCAGAAACGCAATGAACTTTGACGCCAATCGTTAATTTACGAGAGTTATGTCATTTGACGTGATCAGTGGTGATGTTCAATGGTCGCAGTTAGCATATACACTGAATTAATTCAAATTCTTTTTGTTTTGGTTACGGTTGTCACTTGACTTCCACATGCAGCTATAACTACTTGTTCCAATATATCCTTTGAACATTCAATAAGGTGAAGGGTTTCTTTTTCAGTCATTTCCGGCTCCACTGGAAAAATTCCTCTATGTTTCACACAGCACTAAACCAACGATGACGGTTCAGCGTATTTGAGAAATGACGGAGATAGTCGTTTTGTTCTCAAACGGAATTAACCATGTATTTTGTAGTTTGGAAATATCAGAAGATTGAAACGAAAAAGAAATGAAGCTTTCGCACAACCAGGAGTTTTGTATTTTATCATTGTCCTCAGATGGAAAGTTTAGAAGATTAAAATCAATCACTACGGTCGGCCGAACTATCGAATGTTTGATACAGCTCACTTCTTTTCACGTGGAAAGATCCATGTTTGCAAGGTTCTTCGTCATTTGCCCTTGCTTGGATTGATTTCATGATATCGTCAACAATTTCATCCACTGATGCTTTAACAGCCACGTTCCCGAGCAATACTTCATGCTTTGTACTACTTGTTGGCTTTTTGGCGTGATAAAGAGTTCTTAGTGTCATCGGAGGTTTGATAATGAATGTATGCTGTACTGGAAGAAAATGCAGTGATCTTTTTTCGAAAACTAACAATTTTCCTAACGAGAGTGCTACTAAATCTGTGCAGCTAATGCTCGTAAAGGCAACTTCAATCATATGATGATCACCTCTCCGTTCAGAGCAAGAAGTGATGATTCCTGTACGATCGAATATGGCCGAAATGTTATACTGATAGGAACAAACTTTTTGAATGCTAATCATAGTATGCGAATGTATGAACCCAAATGTACTATCTATATGCTGTTATTAACCATGATGTGGTCACTCATTGTGGTCAATTGGATCTATTCTATTGTAAGTAGCTCCCTTAATAACAAGTCTACACACATTCGACCTAATGCAGTCACTCATTGTAAACACTGATGCATTTCTCTCGTTCAAAGATTTCATGCGCCAGATAATAATAAGTTTTACTTGCGTGCTATCGTTCAGCTGCTTTATGGCTAATTTTAACGAAACCTCGTGAACAAATATGGGTTGAGAGATGTGATGCTGAAACATTTTCCATTTGATCGAGATGTTGATCAGCGATATATATCCAATTGCTTTCTACGCCTATTATTTGATGGTGTAAATTAAAATTGGTTAAAACATGAAGGAAGGTGTTTGGTGCTATGCCATTGAGACCAAAAACAACCACCAAAAAGAGCTTTTATTTTGACCGGAGTGAACTAGTTAATGATTCGAACATTTGAAAAGATCGCGAACGGCCTTACGATAGCACGGCAACGCAGAAAGTGTGCAGATGCTGATCACGATCGTTCTCAACTGAAATTATGTATTGAACAGTATTTGCTTTTAACTTTAAATACTTTTCAATATGCTCTCATCGTGGGGAGGCCTGCACCTAACCGCAAATATAATCTGTTGATTTTCTTTGCTGTTTTTTGATTTCTTGGGCAGATTTGAAAAATCAATAACATTATAATATTTGGTGCGCACTAATTACTTGCGACTAAACAACGAATTATCGCGAAATATGCTCAGAGCTATTGCTTCTCTGCAACATCGAAACACTGCAAAAAATGGCAAGGAATATCCATAGTCGCGCTACCATCCAAGTGCTCTGTGCAATATTCAGGAGTCTTGGAATCATAGCTTGCTAACCAATTTGCATAAGTCAGAATACAACCAATTAACCTGAAATTCGGTTGCAGCAGAGTACGACTGGATTTCTCTAAGCAGAATGGCAGAGGAAATGTACTGCAATGTGTCAGATATTGCGAATGCTGAAACACCGCAGTTGTAAATGAATCAGAAAATCAGTCAGGCATTATTTCGTGACCTTTACCATTTGAGCTGAGGTTTTGAACTCGATTATCGCTATAGTGTGAATTTTTTCTTGGAAGAGTAGTGAGTGAAACAGTGTTCATCTGCTTCGATACCGCTATAAAGATGAAACGTATAACAGGCAATTTTAGCGCATCTAGGAACAAATTTTTCAATGTCACTGACAAGAGGTACGCAGGTTGCAGTTCCTCCAAGGATGGTACCTCGTTGACGTTCTCGATTCTGACAGTAAGATGAATCTGACTACATCTCCTCCCACATGAATGACACTCAGTAAAGTCGGCTTCCTATGAAATAATGAGATCAGAACTAACTTATTATAGGAACATTAAGGATGTTCAACGGAATACAATAACAGATGAACGAAATCAAACGTTTACGGTATTGAGCCAGTTGACAGGCTTGTGTACCGTACACTTTGCTGGATCGTACCGCACTTATTGCCTGAAATGGCATTGATAAGCAATGCAAACGTGCTGCCAATGCAAGCGAGCGAAGAAAGCGCAGTCAAATTTAGACAATCAAATTATAAGATAATTTCCCTCACCTTGACAGTGATAATAAGCGTTGACATCACGATAGCAACGAGTGTACAGTTAAAAAGATTTGCTGCTATATGGGAAAATACTTCTTGATGCTTGTCAAACGTATGGTTTACAGTGGTTGCCAAAGGTGCGAAAATGAGGCAAAGTAGGTGGATAATTAGGCAATGGGGAACCCACGACCTGAAACGGAAAAGCCGTATAAATCACGATGATCTGATGTAATAGTCTCGAAAAATGACAACTTTTATTTACTCTCAGATTGTCGACTTGGATAACCCTTCACCAATAGGATTGACAATTACGCAGATACAGTATCGAAATCAATAGGAAAGGATACAAAGAGACCGTATTTCTGAGTAGTGTTCATCGGGCAGCGGAGTTCACGTCGGAGTACGCGGCGGGGACCCCGTTCCTCGACGAATCCCCCACAATTTTACTCCCTGACTCTGGTCCGAGCTCCCATCAGTCTACTGCGTTCCATGACGGGGCTCTCTTCCGGTTAATCCGCTTCTCGGCTCTTTTGTTGTGGTCAACGAGAAGGAGCAGCTTCTCGTGGGGTCTCGTTGGACGATTTAGCTCCCGATTTTTTGGTCGGACAGTTGCCATCGACTTCCCTCCCATAAGAGCCCCCAGGCCAAAAAGTTGCCCCCTCACGAACAGTAGTTGTAAGACGAAATCCTACATCCTCGGGGAAAGGGGTGCCCGTTCAGGTCTCGAAGGGGTTCAGTTCTCCAACAATTTTGCTCCCCAGCCTTCTTATCTGGGCCTCCTGCTGACCAATTCACTCCCTAACGCCGAGGACGACCTCCACGCAATCATTTTCAGACAACTGCGATGCTGAAGACATGTTAGTGAACATTGCACTGTCAGTTGTAAAGCACACTTGCGATTAGGGACCAAAGACGAGAGTATCTTTGCAGATTTTACAAAACTGAACCAAAAAATCTGCGAACCCAGCCCCGTTTAGTCAAACCCGCGAATCTTGGTGTGGACTGTGTCGGCCTTACCCAATTTTATTGAATGGCTTAATTGAGGGTGCACTATCACTGAATCACGTATTCATCTTCCCTTCGAAAGTGCAGATCGAGAGATGTTCTTTACAGATGTGTTTAACGGCTTCCCGTCCTCTCCGACGGGGATTAATAGCAGACGTAATCCACGTTAATCAAAAAATTTTATTTGGCTATTCCCCGAACAAACTCCTCCCAAATCGATCCCCTTCCGACGGTCTTCTCCCGAACACTTTGCTCTCCGACGCGGTTGACCCATCGAACATTAGCCGTTGGGCCGAAATTTGGTCAACTGATGTATCCGGAGTGTGTAACAATGTCACCTTTGAAAAGTCGGCTGATTTCAATTTAAAACGAACCGTTTGTCCATGTATTTTGCGATAAAAACAGGTGATTTGAAGGCCAAATAAGAGATCGA